AATCTCAAGCAGACTCCCTGCTGACCGTGGATCCCAAGGTGCGGGGAGGGGGCTCAATCTCATGACCCTGAGATCATGAACTGAGCCGAAATCAAGAGTCAGATGCTTAACCAACTGAGCCACCCAGGTGCCTCTTGAAAAAAAATTTTTTTTTTAACGTGGACACTGATAGTTTCTTTTCAGTCTCCTGGAGTCTTTTAGTCCTTTGATAGCTTTTGTCCCCCTTCTGCTTTAATTTTCTTATCTAGCCTGGAACCTTACGTAGCTTTTGAAATATGTTGAGCTGCTTTGCACTTTTGTCTCTTTATTACATTTGTCTAATAGCCACAGATCAGTTCATCTTTCTTATTTCTATGTACCTGGTTCTGAGCTACTAAGCACATCTGGAGAAAATTACAATTTTGCAGACTGGAGCCACTAAATACTCATGCTCTCCAATCTTAATTGGACCCTCAGTATTACCCAGTAATTCTTTTTTATTCCTAGTTGTTTCTCATTTCTCATAGCAGTTATTAAAAAATTTTTACTATAACAGAGTACTTCATTTCTCTTTCTCAGTAGATGACCATATCTATTCATTGAGAAACTTTTTTTTTTTTAAGATTTTTTATTTATTACTTTGACAGAGAGAGACACAGCGAGGGAGGAGTGGGAGAGGGAGAAGCAGGCTTCCTGCGGAGCAGGGAGCCCGACGCGGGGCTCAATCCCAGAACCCTGGGATCATGACCTGAGCTGAAGGTAGTTAGACGCTGAACAACTGAGCCACCCAGGCGCCCCAAGAGAAACTTGGATTTAATTATCATTTTATTACTTTTTATTTTTTTAAAGATCAACCATTTTATTTATTTATTTATTTATTTATTTGCCAGAAAGAGACAGCGCACAGCAGGGGGAGCGGCCGGCAGAGGGAGAAGCAGTCTCCCTGCTAAGCAAGGAGCCGGATGCGGGACTCAATCCCAGGACCCCAGGACCATGACCTGAGCCGAAGGCAGACGCTTAACGGACTGAGCCACCCAGGCGTCCCTAATTATTATTTTAGTTCTGGAAGATGTTGAGATGATTGAAATGAGGTTAGATAGAGATTACCCTGACGTTTGCTATGCCCATCCTATGGAGGCATACAGCAAACCAAGATATAAATTTTAGAACAAAATTTGAAATATGTATCTTTGGGGTAATTTTGGTTGACTCTACTGTGGGCTAATTTTAGTATAAAATCACTTTTTCAATTACAGTTACATTCTTAGAATAGTTTTGTGTTTGAAATTTAAGATTAAAAGAAGTTCTTTGTTGTGTAAGAGGTTCTAAATATCTTATGCTAACTTTTTAAAATTGCAGTACAACATATTAATACATAAAGTACACTGCTTATAAGCTTGGTGAATTTTTACCCATGTAATCTCTTAGATCAACATATAAAACATTTCCAGCACTCCGGGAAGTTTTCTGTATCTCTTCTCAGTTATCTCCCCCTCCAACTCCCCACACCTGTTCCAACTTTTGTAGCCACCAGTTAAGTTTGTACTTTGTCTAGCTTCTTTTGCTTTAACATGATTTTTGTGAGATTCGTCCATATTGTGGCATGTATCAGCAGTTCTTTTTTTATTCCTATGTAGTATTCTGTGTGAATATACCAAAATGAATTAATTTATTCTCTTGTACGTGGACATTTGGGCTATTTTCCTTTTTTGGCTATTGTGACAAAGCTGTTGTGAACATTCTTGTTCAGTTTTCTTGGTGAACCTAAACCCTCATTTCTTTTGGATAATTATACCTAGAATGGAATGTTTGGAAAATTTGCATATGTTTAGAGAAATATACTTCTTGATACCACTTTTATAGTGGAACCAAACATTAGCTTCACCCTACCTTTCTATAAGCAGTGTCATTCCTTTTGATAAAGAATACAAAAAGAGCATTAAATAGATTTTGTAGCAAGATTCTGAAAGAAGGCACTTCTTTGTTTTCATTTACTTACGAAATTAAAATTCTTCATTTGGTTCTAAATTAAACTACTTATTTCTGTTAGTACTTCCTTCCATATTGCTTATAAATCTTTTATTCCTTTATTAAAATTTGAACATTTTTCTCTGTCATGGTCTATTCTGATCCCTGTAAGATTGTCTTTCTTATTTATTAGAGGATTTCTCTGACCACTTATAAGACCAGAAAATAATCATTGGTTTTCCTGGCCGAAACATAGGCCTTCTTGGTTTTATTGGGTTGGCCTTTTAGAGACTTGCAGTGAATGAAGTAGAAGAACTATTGGATTCAGAGACTAAAGACCTGGATTTTAATCCAGGTCAGTGTTTATTAGCATGTCCTTTTGTAAATTACTTTTACCTCACTTCCTCATTTGTATTGGGAATAAACATGTATGTCCTGGTCATTTCAGAGGATGTTGGCTAGTAAATGAGCTAATGTAACAGTGCTCTGCAGACTATGAAATATGAATATAAGCACTTGTCTTTTTTGGGGGGACATTTTGTACATTCGTAGATTTCTAAGCAGCATTCATTTAGTTTGTAAAACAAAATACAAGTTTCAGAGGCATGGAGCAGGACAGTATAGAGTGTCTCTCGGGAAGGTTTACTGCCCGATGAGTAAGTTCTAAGTGTGGCAGGTACTGATGAACTATGTACCAAATTCTGGTTTTCAGAATTGGTATGTTCAGAAGTTCAATTTATTATTTACATTTAGGAGTGATGTAGGTTTCAAGTGATTTCAAGTCCGAAGAATAAACCAGGGTATCATATTACTGATACGCATTGAGAAATGTAACTTTCTAGTGAAATAGTCAACCTGTGCTCACCTTTCAGTGCCTTCTCTTGTAGGAAGACCTGTATCAGACGCAGATTATAATCCGAAGATTGACCAGTAAACCTGGAGTGAACCCAAAGCGCGTTGGATCATTTTAGTTGTCAGTGTTATTGAGCTGTGATAGCCTGACAAATCTGTCTGCACTGTAGCAGATCTGGGTCAGTACACTCTATCCAGGGATAGTGTTGGAGACAAACTGCCAAATTTAATTTGTTTGAACACTCCTCACTATTCAGTTAATTCAGTTTCAGCTTTCATATAGTCATGGACAAGGTCTGGGTCCTGCTTCCCATGCCACCTTCTTTGGATTTTGTGTATTTACTTTCTTCCTTCTGCAGATGATTTATCTTATGTTTAAGTCTTACTAATTTAATTCTCACCATAACTTTACTTCAGTTTAAAGGAACATTTTCTATGTGTCCATATACTGCTTCACTAGTGGATTGAATGTATCCTTGCAAAGTTGAGTAAGATACATGTTGCTTCTAGTGCACCCTTCTGGATGTAGGAAGAATACGGATTTTGTAGTCAAACCTGGATTTCAGTATTGGCTCTGTCATCTATTTAGCTGAGACTTTGGTCACGTTACTTCTTTAAGATCCCTCTATCCATCTATCATCCTAGAGGCGTGATAGTCCTCCTCCTCCTCATTGTCTCTTTCCCCTTCTCCATCACAGTTATGTAATTTATATAACATGAAATACTCTCATTTTTAAATATATACTTTAGGGATTATTAGTTAATTTGTGAAACTATGCAGTCATCACCACAATTGACTTTTACAATATTTCCATCACCCCGAAGAGAAACTGCACCATTTGCAGTCACTTTCTGAACTAAGCTATTTTTTGTATCTATAAATTTGCCTTCTTGGGACATTTCATATAAATGGAACCATACAATATGTTGTCTTATGTTTGGCTTCTTTCATTTGACAATGTTTTTAAGGATCCATGTTATAGCATGTTTTGGGACTTTACATTTTATTGCTGAAGAGTATTCCATTTGTTTATTCACCAATGGACAGACATTTGAGTTTCCACTTTTTGGCTCTTGCAAGTAATGCTGCTGTGACCATTTGTATACAAGTCTTGGTGTAGGCCTATTTCATTTCTCTTCCCTTGATACCTAGGAGTGGAAGGAATTGCTGGGTCATACAGTAAATTTATGTTTGGCGTTTAAGAAGTTACCAAACTTTTTAAAATGGTATATATATACTTTTTAAAATGTAAAGTGATAACTTTACATTTCTGCTTACCAATGTATGACGGTTTCAGCTTTCCTATTCTTTTTATCAGAATATTTAGGATGTTTATTTGATTAGATTTCAGTATCACACATGACAGTAACTGCTGTCAGTGAATAAGAAACATGGCATCACAGGATTTTACTACTCCAGCTAGGGAAAAAAAAACCCAAAATTCCACGTATATCAATATAATGCTGAATATTTTAAAAACCTAGATTTTCTACTAGGTGAATGTGATTACTTGAAAAATTTCAATACAGAAAGAAAAATTTCAATACAGGAAGAAAAATTTCAGTAAAGGACTCCATAGAACAGTGGTCAGAATTTATCACTTTATTAAAAACAACTTAAAAAAAACAACTTTCAATTATAGAAAACTTAAAACATGCAGATGAAGATAGAAGAGTTTGGTGAATCGTCACATACTCATCATCCAGCTTCAGGATTGTTCTCATGTCCAGTCTTGTTTCATCTGTACCCATATCAGCAACCCTCTCCCCCATATTATTTTGAAGCAAATCCTAGACATCTTAAACATTGCCATTGTCATATCTAAAGCTATTCGTAATTCTTTATTAATAAGAATTTATTACTTTTGAAAAGTGAAATGGAGAAAAAAATTTAAATACGTCTATTTAAAAATAGAAACACTTAAAAAAATAGGTTCCCAAGCTCAGGAATTGGAGTGCTTTTATATAAATATATGAGTTTTTGTTTTTGTTTTTTTTTTTAAGAAATCTCTTCCTTTTTTTTATTATGTTGATGTAGTGTTTCATGATTCATTGTTTGTGTGTAACACCCAGTGCTCCATTCAGTAAGAAATCTCTTCCTTTTTAGGGGATGTTTAGGTTGTAAATCTTCCTCTCCTCCAGAGGAAAAAATTATAAAGTTTTGAGTGAGGCTGGGTTATATTATCATTTGGTCCATTTACATGAGAATAAATGTCTTTGGAACATGGGATGAGGTTAGAAGGAGTTTGCCATTATTTGTTTATTATTTAGTAGACTCCACACTGGGCGTGGGGCTTGAACTCACTATGGACCCTGAGGTCAAGAGTCATATGCTCTACTGACTGAGCCAGCCAGGTGCCCTGAAATTTGCCATTTCTTTCTTTTCTTTTTTCTTTTTTTTTTTTAAAGATTTTATTTATTTATTTGACAGAGAGAGACACAGCGAGAGAGGAAACACAGGCAGGGGGAGTGGGAGAGGGAGAAGCAGGCTTCCCGCCGAGCAGGGAGCCCAATGCAGGGCTCGATCTCAGGACCCTGGGATCATGACCTGAGCCGAAGGAAGACGCTTAACGACTGAGCCACCCAGGCGTCCCAAATTTGCCATTTCTAATAGGAATTGACTTTATTACTGCTTTAGGGAAATTATTTTTATTTTCATTCAAAATTGAATTGCTTTAAAAATTCTTTTTTTTTAAAGATTTTATTTGTCAGAGAGAGAGAGAGAGAATACAAGCAGAGAGAGTGGCAGGCAAAGGGAGAAGCAGGCTCCCTGCTGAGCAATGAGCCTGATGCAGGACTCCATCCCAGGACCCTGGGATCATGACCTGAGCCAAAGGCAGATACTTAACTGACGGAACCACCTGGGCATCCCTAAAATTTAAATTTTTAAGCATTACTTTCTATAACATTCCTGATTTAGATTATAGATTCGCTGGATAGTCTCAGATCCATGGTCTGTTTTTTTTTTGTTTGTTTGTTTTCTGAAAATGCTACAGTTTTTCTTTCCCTGACATGTAGAATTGATTTCTTATTAGTACTAAAGTGTCTATAACATCAGAGTCAGTGGTACCTATTTGTGGTAAATGTGGGCTTTGATTTTAGTTTCACTACTGACCCAAATGGGCTGCTCTGCTTTTTTGAGCCTCAGTTGACTTGTGACATGGAGGTATTATAATATCTGTTCTTTATTCACTCATGATTGTCCAAAGAATAAAATGAAAAGTTAACTAAGTGCATGTAGATTATTTTTTGGGTATAGGTGTTAGGTTAGGGTTAACAATACTGTGTGGCTTTATGCTCCATGCATTTACAAAAAAGCAGAGAGAAGTGGAGACAGTGCAACTATTTATTAAGTGCCTGTTATGTACAATTGTGATAAGCCATTTAAACAAATTCCCTCTTAAGCCGAAGGACAATGCTGGAAGAGATATATCTTCTTTCCAAACCAAGGCTCAGAAATATGAAATAATTTGCTGGAGGTATATATTGTTTCTTCACTTTATATATGAGGAAACTAAGGCTTGGAAAAGTGTAACAATTTGGATAAAGTCTTACAACTAGTTAGTGTCAGAATTTGAGCCCACAGCAGCTTTAATTTGAAAGTGTATGCTTTTCTACTATGGCCGGTTGTATAGGAGGGAGGGAATGAACAGATGTTTTCACACTCCCCCCCCCCCCCAAGTGTTGAAATGTTAAAAGCTGCTTTGGCCAGTTAGCTAATTACAAGATAGTTTTAATATAGCTATATTTGTGGGTTTGGTCAGTAATTTATTTAGGCTTTACAGAAGAGTAGAACTTGTTTGAGTCATATTTTGTTATCCACATGGCTAAATTGGGTTTGTAGGATAAGCATCATAGAAGCAAATGGTCAAAGTTACGGGTAATAGCATTATTTCCAGAATTTCAGTTATTCAGGTACAAATGTCATCGGTTCTGCAGTATGTATTTACCATTATTGCTGTTATTTACTTAGTGTCTTCTTAAGTTGTAGTTTTCCCCCTGAGTTCATTTCAGAAGGAAACTAGAGTATTATAGTGAGTGGGAAACTAGTGTCACTTGCCATAAATAGAAAAGTAACTCTTAAAATCAATAAACAACTATAACAAAAACTTGGTTAGTGTAGCACCTTTAACTATTTTACTTAGCTACCAGTGGTTTGCATTATCACTCTTTGGAAAACTCAGATTTGGAAGATTTAACTTTAAGGATTTTATCATTTTCCAAGGTAAAACAAACTGATAAAGATTGATCAAAGGAAAGTGCAGGCATTCATAGTGTAGCAGATCTGAGCAATGGTCAAGAAAGAATTTTTTTTTTTTTAAAGATTTATTTATTTATTTGAGAGAGCAAGAATGAGAGAGAGTACATGAGATGGGGGAGGGCTAGAAGGAGAAGCAGGCTCCTCGCTGAGCAGGAATCCCGATGTGGGACTCCATCCCGGGACTCCAGGATCATGACCTGAGCCAAAGGCAGTCGCTTAACCAACTGAGCCACCCAGGCGCCCAAGAAAGAATTCTTGAGACATTGTATGGTGCAACTTAGTAAGTTTATTTATTAAGTAGCATGGGGAGAGGACCTGTGGGCAGAAAAGGCTGCACTTTTTGCTGTATGAAGCTGGTGGTTATATGCTTATTGCTCAAGGGGGAGGGGATGTGCAGGGAGTATGAAATCATAAATGTTTCTTTGATTTTCTCCTGGTAAAACTACTTTAGCAAGATTTCTCTGGTGCTTATCATTCAGTTTGATATTAACTATTGGTGAGATAATACAGGAAGTCATGAGATGCCTTAGGATGTAGCAGCCAGCATGTATTTGATCTTTATTCAAACTTGCGGGTTATAGGTCAGCCTTCAGGGCTAAAGATGAACATTTCTCTACTTCCATGCCTCATCAGTACTAAGCAAGAGGAAGACCAGAGCAGAAACCATTTGGGACTAGACCAAAAGTGATCTCTTTAAGTGATGGGAACTATCATAAGTGGTTCATGTCAACTTACATATACCTTTCATATATTTTTTAGCTATAGTAATTGTCTCAAATGTGTAGTAGACTTTTCATACTTATATGCCTTTTGAGAAGAACTTTGTGAAATAAAGCACATAAAATGCATCAAACATAAATGTATTATTTAAATAATTGTAAACACTGAAATTCTAATTTGGTCAAGGACACGAACATTGTCAGCACTGAAGAAACTCCTCCACTGCTTGCCTATTTGCATTAAAGCTCCATCCCTTTCCCCTAAATGAACCATTAGCCTGACTTTTATGGTTATAATTTTCTTGTTTTGAAAAAACATTTCTACCTCCAAAGCCTAGTTCGGCTTTGTCTGTTTTTGAGTTTCATGTAGACAGAACCACTCTCTATGTGTATGGTTTCATTCAGTAGCACATTTGTAAGATTTATACATGTTTTGTGGATCTGTTGTTCATTTTTATTAGTTTAGTATTAGATTGGGTGATTATGCCACAGTTTATCCATTTTACTGTTGATGTTTATTAGATAATTTTCATTTTGGGGCCATTACAAATACTTCTTAAAACACTGCTGTGTATGTTTTTAATGCACATGTGTAGCCATTTCTGTTGGATCTGTGTCTAGGAGTAAAATCTCCTGGTCCTAACATATGTCATCAGTAGAAAATGCCAGGTAGTTTTCCAAAGTGGTTTTACCAAACTTTATTTATTTTTTTTTTTTAAGATTTTTTAAAAAATCATTTGAGAGAGAGAGTGAGAGTACAAGCTGGGGGCAGGAGGAGGGTCAGAGAGAGAAGAAGCAGGCTCCCTGCTGAGTAGGGAGCCCAGTGTGGGACTCCATCCCAGGACCCTGGGATTATGACCTGAGCCAAAGGCAGATGCTTAACTGATGGAGCCACCCAGGCGTCCCGAAACTGGGATACTTTAATCAGGAGTTCTATAGCAAAATTTTTGTGAACAAAATTTCATTCTAGTTCCAAGTCAAACTGTCCAAGTCGTCTCCATTTATAAAGCCTGAGAGATCCCAGATGCTACACAAAATAGTTGTTTTTGGTAGTGTCATCTTCCTTTTGTTTTTAAAGGAAGCTGGACAGTGATTATTGTGTATTGAAATAGAAACGTATTTCACATGGCTATTTCACTTATTTCAACTTGGTTGAGTTGATTATATTTTTCTGTATTTGGCTTTTAGTTGCATTTATGTCTTTAGCTATTATAAAAATAGTTTAAGCTTAAATAGTGTGGTTTATTTACTAATTTTTAGTTTTAGATTTATCTTGGCAAACTTTGCATTAGTTTCTTCTGGTTCATGGTTACAGTGGGGTAAGCGCTGTGATCTAAATAAACATTAAGATGAAGTACATTATGTAAATTGGCAGCCTTATTGCAGTGGTTATGAAATATAAAAAGACTTTGACATTCTAGGACTGTGGAAAGGAAACAAAATACAGTAGAGGCTTAATTTTACGTAGTAGTGTGTGTGTGAGAGAGAAAAAAATTAGACATGAACACAAATTGGAGCACTAGAATAGGGATTAGAGAGAAAAGGATCCGAGAATGAAGAGAAAATGAAATATCTTGGAGAAGGGAATGGTAAAAATATTTTAATAGCTTACTTGTTTTTGGAAAGCCACTATGAATTCATATTTCAATAGTATAAGAAAATTGATTTCTTAGAAGTAAATATTTTTATAAAAACTATATTGGAGTTTTGTGTGGGGGAACTTTTATATGCCTTAAAAACAATATTCAGGAAGAAAGGAAAAAAACCCCACATTTCTGTGATTATATATATTATGCCAAAAAGTGTGTTATGTTTTATCAATAAATTCTGTGAGACTTATCTGGAATTCTCAAACCCTTCTTTAATTAGGGGAAAGTTTGTTTAAACTGACAGAAATAACCATGTTTTATCTGTGTAAATCATACTGTAATCTGAGTTTCCTAGATCATAAATTCTCCATCAGGTTGGTTATAGAGAAGGTGTAGTAAATTTACACATGATTAAAATAATTGTGATGATTCACCACGCATTTCAAAGATGCTGTGACTCTTTACTACACATTTTTTGGGGGGTTGTAGGGGTGAATTAACAATAATATAAATACCAATATAGGAAACAGTGAAACTGTTTATTTCATATTAGTGTTTGATAGTTTGTATTGGTTTTCCAGCAATTAAAAAAAATAGAAGTGAAATTCATACAACATACAATTACTTAAAAAATACAATTCCTTGGTATTTAGTGTGGTGGTACTGTTGTAGATCACTATCTTTTTCTAGTTTCAAAATGTTTCCATCACACCAGAAGAATATCCCCATATTC